AATTTTATTTTACCTAATGAGACAAAACACTATAAAACCAGAATTCCAAGGGCCCACCAGATCCAGCCTAATTGAATGTTTGGCTCCCCAGACACACTCCCCCAGCAGATAACCAGGGCTTCACCTACAGCTAGCCTGCCAATTCTTCCAGAACCATTTTATCAGCACTCTTGTGGCATCCTGTGGATTTTGGGAGAGCCTGCCCACCCCTCCCAATGCTTCTGAAGCACCTTGCCCTGGGAGTGACTGAACACCCCAACAAAGCTCTCCTTCCACCTGCACAGAGCTCATCCTCCTTCCCAAGCAGCCACCAGAGAACCAAACCAGCTGCTGCTTTCCTGCAGAAGCTGAAAACGACCCCATGTTGGTCAAAACTGCTGACATCAAGCCACTTTTTCATTGATATTCCTACAAAACATCACTCATATTTGATTTAAGCCCCCACTGAAGACGTGCCCTCAGAAGCTGCAGGAAGCTGATAAACTGCAGAGTGGGGTAGAAGGGCTTTTCACTGTTCTTTTAGAAACCTGCACAATATCTCATTTGAAAGAACCCTGATCTCTAGCTGAGGCTGCTAGGTGCTTCATGAATATAAACTGAATATATGAATTGCATTGCTTCTTAAGCCTACACTCAGCTGTAACAAGAAAAATCATGAAACACTTGTAATACAAAAAAAAATAATTTATAGAAGCTGCAAAGAACAAACTTATTTCCTGAGGTTTGTGGGAAGTTATAATTAGGATTTGTTTAGCATTTCCATATTTCTTGAATCATTTCCCTAGTCTGAATACACATAATTTTTATTTTTGGTTGCTTGTATTAGACACTTGATCCCCCCAGCAGTTCTCACAAACCCATTCCTTGCACCCCTCCCTGCAATGAGGTAACACAGCTGCTCCAAAATCCACTCATTTTATCATCAGGCAGGACAGCACTCTCCAAAATGCCAAACTGAGCACATCCACCTTGCTGGGATGGCACATCCCAGAGCATCTCCATTCTTCAGGGCTCTTCAATAAAGAGCTAAGGCTGCAAAAAGGCTAAATCAACAAATCTTCTGTCCCAGAGTGCCCAAGCTGCTGCTGCTGAGGACAGAGAGCAGCAGGAAGAACAGACAGAGCCAGAGGTGAAACAGCCTCTCCACCCACAGACAAATATTTTCATTCTTATCAAAGCCACTCTCCCACCACTGTATTCCATCAGGGAGAAGAGATTCACAGAACCACAGTCACAACACAGCCTGGGCACATCTGCATTCCCACAGAAAACAGGATCCTTGCCCTGTGTGGCAGCTCTGCTCATTTCCCATCTTGCCTAGAAATGGAAACAAGCTCCAAAAAGCCACCTGTGTTTGTGCAGCCCAACCTGAGGGCACACAGAGCCCCATGCAGAGGAGCTGAACTGGTGTCCAGTGTGCCCCTGAATGACTCTGAACAAGACACACAGCACTGCACTGACTCATTGCAGGGTTTCACACAGCCCAGCCACAGCAGATTTCATATTTCTGTCAAGCAATGACATCATTTCCTAATCACTGCTAAAGAATTCATTAAGGAGTGTGATTTCAGGGGCCAGGCTCCAACACAGGCAGGGTACCCTCACTGCCCTCATGGGTTGCAGCAGACACTCAGAGCTGATCACATCACTGGAAGCTTCCACACACCACGTTTTGCTATTTCCCTCCACACACACCAGAGCTTGTTGCTCTCTAATAACTCTGGGGCAAAGTCCTTCACTAACAAGGTCTGTTGAGATGCTGCTCAAGCTCACCTGTTCTGCCACAACACCTGAAGACCCTGAGGACACTCAGGCCTCACTACATTAACCTGAGTGTGCAGAAAAAGCCCATAGGTGCCACTCAATACAGCCTAAATAAATAGAACAAGCAGGAAGGAGGCAAATAAAAAGATAAATTACTTCATCCCAGGTCACTTAAAGAGTCTGCATCAGAACCAAAGAAGGACCCTTGATCCCCAGTGTCTTCTTGTCATGACCATCATTTCTCACTCTTAAAATGAGGAAAAAAACCACAAGACATCAGCCTGCAGCATTATTATCAAGACTAATTGGTTTTGGAGGAGGAGGAGCTGCACTAAGGAACAACCCAGCACATGTGGTCATGCTGGAGACAAATCAACACAAACTTGCTGAAGAGTATGAGGAGTTCACTGCCTGGCAAAACCCATCCTCCCCTCTCATGTGCCTTAAATGAAAAAGAACCTGATACCAACTCGATACCATGAGCACCCCACACACATTCCCTGGGCTTTACAGGGGTGTTACAGGGTGTATTCCCAGCACATCCATAAATGTATTGGGAATGAATCCTTTTCTGCCCTTCACTGAACTCATTCACAACACACAGTTCACTTTTACAGCCAAAAGAGATGAAAGAATCACATCCAGGCTGTAAATCATAGCAGCCCATCGCAATTAAACACACTGAAATTCTAAATCCAAAAAAAGGCAGACTTGGTGATGATACAATTGCCAACTACATCTCCCAAACACTCTCTTGCTGCCCTTCAAACGTGCTTCCCATTTATAAGCTCACAGGAGCAACTTTACTGCCAATTCCTCCATTGATGGCACATTTTATTGACAAAATGCAGCTGAGCCACCTAAAGCAATTTCAGCTACAGAATAACCTTTCACACAAGAAGTTAACCAGCTCCTCCATCCATTTGCAGTAGATTTAGATTAGCAAACACCACACAGACACACTCAGATCCTTTGAGCAGCCAGCTGATGGCTAAGGACAGGGGAATGTTAAACAGAATTTCATGCTTTGAGCTCCAGGAAGCTTTGCTTCCCATACTCAAAAGTAAAAGGTCTGAATTCCCACTCTGCCACAGACTGTTCCCTCTCCTTTCTCACCCATCTCCAGTTTATCCTTTCCTCTTTTTTACCCTTCTCCTGCATTACAATTTTCTTGTTACACTTCTACAAAGATTATCTTAGTTTAAACAATTCTGATTAAAAAAAACACAAAAAAAGCTGTCCAGTCTTCCCAGAAGCTTAAAAAGCACCAGATGTGCCCAAGTCTATCCAGAGTGCAGCCACTGGCTCTGGGGTGGTGCTTTTAAGAGGCAGCCAGTCAAAGGGAGGCTGTGCAGCCACAACTGACAAGTTCCCCATCACATAAATACTTTCAAAGCATCAGACTCCAACACAGAATTACGCCTCTCTTTCAAATGCAGTTGTATAAAACAGTCACTCTCTTATGACTTATGGAAGAAATCACAAGTCTCCAAATGTGCCAGGATTTGGAACTCCCATTAAAGAAACTTGCAAGGAAGGGAAAGTTTTAAAAGCCACTTTTATTGTCAGGCTTAATTCTGCATTCCTGTGAAGTCTGTCTGCAAGTGGGTTTGCCTGATCAAAGATCCCAGGGCTGCCCACCCCGAGTTTGTCCACAGATCACCCCAAGTGTTCACCCAGCACAGCTGCTCTCAACATCTGTCACAGCCTCCTCAGCCCAGCCCAAATAACCCCGGGTGGGTGGGAGAGGGGAGGAATTTGCTGACCCCCCTGTCCCAGAACAAGTCCCAGGCAGCAATTCCTGCAGCTGAGCTGTGCTAGGAATGGAGCTGCAGCTTTTCAGAGAAACTCCAGACATGCACAAGTGCAAATTCCTGAGACAGGCAAGGACCCAGGGCTTAGCTCCAGCCTCAGCACACACCCAGCAACAGTGCAGCTCCAAGGCTGGCCCTGGCTGTGGGCAGAGATGCAGCTGAAATGGGGATTTAACCCCTTGCTACACAGGGAAACTATTGGAGCCATGGGAGGCTGGCTGGCTTTGCTCAGACTCTTTAATTACCCCCATGAAAAGGAATTCAGCACTCCCACCTAGGAGCCTTTCACAGCTCACAGACCAAACCCAGTTTGCCTTCAGGTGCACACACACAAATTGAAGCTGCTCCAGTCCCAGATGAGTTTTTCAATAGTTAAGTTGGAAAGTGCAAACCCGGTCATTTATTCCTGCAGGTGAGAACTGACCAGAGACAAAGCAACATTAAAATGAAATCAAAGCCAGACCCAACAGCCACACACCACAGGGGAACTCAGAATCAATCCCTTATCAGCCAGAAAAGCACACAGGGCAAGAGAAGTCCTTGTGCTCACAGGCATTTTGCACCACCACACCTGATGGCTGGGGCACTTTCTGCTCCTCAGAACACAGCTGCCCCTGAGAGCTCACCTATTCCTCACTCTGCTCTTCTGGAGGGCACAGCTGCACCAGGTGGTCTGGGAGAGGCTTCACCTGTCCATCTGCCTGCACTTTCTAACTCACCTCTACAAGATCAAGGTTTTTTTATGCTCCATAGTTCATATTTTGCATGGGTGTTTCACCTCTTCAAAGAGGTCACCAAATACTTTTTTTTTTCCCCTGTGCAACCCAGTGGGAACACAAGAACCCTGTTTCAACCCCAAGAAATCACTACAAAAAAAAGATACTTCTGTGGGAAGGTGAGGTGCAATTAGTGCTTTGCTCATTAACAAGAGCTGATTAAAGCTCTCCATACTGCAGCTTCCTAAGAGAAGATGGTGGCTGAAGTCCAAGCAGCCAGTGTTCAACAGGAGTTGAACAAAAAGAGCAAATACTCTTTTCAGCTCTCTTAAAACAAGGCAGAGCAGCCTCTGGTCAATCCAGAATTACTCAGCTAGAGAAGCTTTGGGGCTGGACTCCATCCCCCTTCCCTTCAGAGAGGGGCACACCCCACACACTCCTCATTCCACAACCCCCACTGCCCACAGGGCACAGCAAGGCCCCAAAAGTCCCCCTTTTCCAGCAGCTACCTGGCTCTGTGCCCTGAAATATAAACATTTTTACATAAGGCCCTGCCACCTTCCAAAATCCACATCTTTAATTTTGCTATGCCAGTGTCCCAGCCACTTCATAACACACCAGAGCTCAGCATTTCCCTTCTGCTTAAAACAGAATCCATGCCCTTAAAACAACCAGTTGGAGTTCTGCTAAGAAAAAAACACCTTACCTGCAGAGCAACAGCAACTCCACCATCCCCTCACACCCACAAAGGACTCAGCCTCTTCCCCACCTCTTTTTATCCCACTCCACCACCTGGACTGGAGATTTTTAATTGTCCCCAGCTGACACAAATCTTCCCCTAAAACACATCAGGTGTGAGTGCTGGAGATCCCTCTGGACTGGAGATTTTTAATTGTCCCCAGCTGACACAAATCTTCCCCTAACACACATCAGGTGTGAGTGCTGGAGATCCCTCCCACCTGCCCATGGCAAGGGTTGTTCTCAGCCCTCGGTTTTTCACTGAGGAATTGTTTTTCACTTCATAGTTTTATTTGCCTTATGACTGAAAACTCACAAGTGCCTTTATAAACACCTGAGGTTTATTGCTAAGCACTACCAGAAATGCATCAATACACAGTCCCTCTTACAAAAATGCAAAGATTAGCTTAATGTTTTCCACAAAGTTCCTAAATTGGAAGTTCCTGTTATTATTTTAAAATGCTGTAAGAATTTAAAATTACATAAAGGTGAAATTCCTACCGCAAGCACTTTAAATGATCAGGAAGAGAATATTTATGTTTAGAAGTTGGTTATTTCAAGTAACTTCACTCCAAAGGGTCACACATGGATACACAAGCCAGCCCCCTGCCTGAGGAAAGCCTGGTGAGGATTAAAAGCCTGATAAAGCCAAACCCTTGTGCTTGGAGAACCCTTTAGGATCACACAGTCAGGACCTGTGTTTTCTCTGGGGTGTTTTAGCAGACAGAGAGAGATCTGAAGAGGAGGCCTTTGGTGCACACAGCTCCTCCACAAGTCAAAGAGAATGCAGACAGGAATAAATAATCAAAAGACCAGGAGTAGAAAGAAGCTGGTGAGACTCTGAGATGCACAGATCTGTTCTGAGAGTCCAATAGCACCAGGAATACAGGGCATTTCTTTTGCTGTTTAAAGTGAATTTTATTCTAAATTACACAATTACAGAGAGAGAAGAGCCTAATAATAACAGAATTGTTTTTTTGCACATGACTTTATTCCTTGTACAAGAGAAGAGTCAAAATTGTCTCTTTGGCCCAGGAAAACAAAATAAAAAGCAAGTTTGGGCATCACCCTCTAGCCCAGTCACCTTGTCAAGGAAAACATGTGCCAACCTCCTGCTCCCCAAATTGTGGGGGAATTTACATGAATCACTCCTGGAATCAATGGAGAAGTGCAGCAGTCACTGACCAGGGGCTGATTTATGGGGACTCCCCAGCAACAGAACATCCAAAGGCAAGATCCTGGGTGTGGGAACTGAGAGAGGCCCCTGTGGCAGGGGCTGTCACTCCTTGCTGAGATTGCCAGGGTGATAAGTGACGCCAAGTGCAGGCAGGAGTGTCTGTCTCCCACATAATCAGTCATTCAGCTGATGGAGAACAAAGCACCTCCTTAACTAATGTCTTTCCAAATCAGGACAGGAAAAAAGCAAAAAAAAAGCCCACTTGTACCTCCCAGCTCTCAGCTGCTGCTCCTGGAGCATCTCCCAGCTCGTTTTCCCACTGTGTGATGTTTGTCTGTTCTAAAGCTCCATCTCCTGGAGCCACGGAACCAACACAGGAGCTCAGCTCTCACCGAAATCGCGCTGCAAGTTTGAGAGGAAAGTTTGCAAAGCTGTGAACTTTAAGGGGTTAAAGTTTTTTAAAAAATAATTTTACACATCCCTGGTTTCTGAGGTTGCCCGATCTGTGGGTTTGCTCTCCTGGCAGGGATCTGCGGCAGCTCCTCTGATGTCCCATCACATCCCACGTTCCCGAGGCGGCCTCTGCCGGCAGCGTGTCCTGTCCCTGTCCCTGTCCCTGTCCCTGTCCCTGTCCCTGTCCTTGTCCCTGTCCTTGTCCCTGTCCTGTCCCTGTCCCTGTCCCTGTCCCTGTCCCTGTCCCTGTCCCTGTCCCTGTCCTTGTCCCTGTCCCTGTCCCATCCCTGTCCCTGTCCCTGTCCCTGTCCCTGTCCCTGTCCCTGTCCCGGGCTCTCTGTCCCTGTCCCGGGCTCTCTGTCCCTGTCCCGGGCTCTCTGTCCCTGTCCCGGGCTCTCTGTGCCCGTGTCCGTGTTAGCCCAGCACATCCCCCGTGCTGCTCTGCTTTCCCTTGAACCCTTCTCACATCCCTTGTTCTGCTTCCCACAAGATTACAGAACTACTTCAAGGATGAAAAGTTGATTAAAGGAGTTCACAAGTTACACAGGATGGGTCTGCATTGGTAACGGAGGGATGTAGCTGGATGCCAGCAGTAATCCATAACTTGTCACCTGAGACAGACAGAGATGTAAATAACCTTTAAACTCTTCCTAGCAGTGCACTGGACGCATGAAAAATGCCAAAGAGTGCAGAAGGGTGTTCTGTACAGTTGCAGTCAATAGAAGGCACCCATTATAGGAAAAAAATTCTATTTATTTTTAATAAATCACTGTGTTGCCACTTAACTTTGGCAACAGAAAACTCGTAGAACTAACATTCTATCAGGCTTTTGTTCTGGGTTGGGTTTTTTTCCCCTCACATACAGTTAACAAAGAAGCTAAAAATAAAAGCTTGATTCTTTCATACCAGACCCAGGACAGTTGTGATGCAGCTTCTCAGTGCTCAAGCAAAGGACAGCACACACATAAAACAACTCACAGGCTGAAGCAGATAAACTTTGTAGCCCATTTCCTGCATCTATCAACTGAAACACAATTCCAATTTACTCTTCCAGCTATGAGTATTTCCTGCTGAAATGTTTAAAGACAATATTTGGTGCTGCAGAGATACCCCAGGCTTGGAAACCTGTATTTTTAAATACAGTTAATAATTAATACAAATAATACAATACAATTTGTTGTATTAAAAAAAAGCTCACTTTGTGGGAGTCCATAATAGATCCAAAAGGATTTTTAAAAGAGATCCCAAGCAGTCCTGGAGCTGGCCAGCAATGCAAAAAGCAGCAATAATCCCAAAGCTTTGTGCTGCCTCAGGCAGCCTCAGGCCCGTGGGCTTTGCTGTCCCGAGCTCCGTTCGGGACACACGAGAATTCCAGGCAAAAGGATTCCAGGATTTATTTGTCCTACAGCAAACCTCCCCCACTGGGAGCAATGCCTTTCATGGTCTCTCAGCAGAAGTTGCTGCCCATAAATTAACCCTGAAATCCAGCAACTTCTACTCCATTCACTCAACTTTTCTTGAATGTTTGAAGTCCAAATCCAGTCCCTACAACCCCAAATCCACGCTGGATTAGAAAGCTCTCCCTAGGGAAAGCTTTCAAGTATTCCCTGAGCTTTAAAAATCAAGGCTGACAGAGAACTTGGGTACCACAAGGAAATAAACTTGTAACTTTTTTTTTTTTTAAAATATCAAGAGCAGAATTAAGTGCTGACTTTCACTTGTACTCTGAAGACTAAATTCCATTTCATTTTATATTCTGGTTCCATGTAATTTTTTATAGGAAATCCACCCCCAAACGCTACCAAGCACCTGCTGCTGGTTTTGTGGGGTTTAACCTCACACTCCCCCCAAGCAGCACATCAATCAGCTGTACACCAACACAGGATCACAGAGCGGTTTGGGCTGGGGAGGATCCTAAAGCCCATCCCGCACCTTCCCCTACCCCAGGGAGTTCCCAGCCCTGCCCAGCCTGGCCTTGGGCACTTCCAGGGATCCAGGGCCAGCCCCAGCACCGTCCATCAGGACTTTCTTCCCCTCATCCAATCTAAATTCTCAGTTTGAAGCCATGTGCTCTGGGGTGTGTAATTAGGGAGTTTAAAGCAGATTTCATTAAATGTAGGGTACACATTTAGGATTAAGATCTTTGCTGTGAGGATGAAGCATTATTTCAATTTTTATTAGCCTTTAAAATAGGTTGCAGATACGAAAATGAATCCATGTCTCAAAATCCCTCTGCAGGTTTCTGCAGGAGTGGCTCTAATGCTGCTCAAACAAACATCTGGAAAGGTCACAAGTGCTTAAAGAACAAGTTTATTGACAATATCGTCACAAATAAACAATCTAAAGAAAATTTCAGAAATCTCTAAACTTAGAAATTTTAAAACTTTCTCATTGGCAAAATATTTAAAAAAAAAAAAAGTGTAAGATGTCACTATATTCTTAAACTTTCCTAATTTCAACATATTGGTTCAGTCCTTTAATTTGATAACACACATCCAACCCTTCTGCACAATGAAAATGAGTCAAAGTACAATTTTCCTTCTGCAAGGGGATCTCGATTGAGATTTTATTTTTTTGTTTTGCAAGCGTCTCCCTGAATCCTGTCTGCTCACAACTTGATAGGCAACACCAGCAAGAAATAACTTCATAAATAGTCCAACTGAGCCAAATTAATTCTGGTATTAATCAAAACCTAAATTTTCCCCCAAACAATACAAAGCAGACCATGTAGTACAAGAAACTATCAGCATGCATTTTAGAGGTCATTTTTGTACTTCAGGTACATGAACTTAAAACCAAAGAGGGACAAGTGTGATAAAAATGTACTCAGATATTTCATAACATTAATATTTATTGCTTTATATGAATACTGTATTGAAAGCCCAAGCATTCAGTTTACACACAGAAATTATACAATTATATACCGTTTCACAATGGCAGTGAGCACTCATTACAATCTACAAAAAATCTACTTTACAGAAATTTAAAAATTCTAAATATCAAAAAGGTACAGTTGAAGAAACAGGTATAAATTTGGCAGCCAGTAATTGTGACTGGGAGGTTGCAGCTTGCATGTCTTTAAATATGGGAACTGGAAAATATTGAGTTTAAAGCAGTAGTTTGTGCTTTGAGCTGGTTTGAAAAAATGTAACACTGGCTGTCAAAGTAGCATGTTCAAAAATATTTAGTTCACTTGCAAAATGTGATACAAATCGTGGTGATTCCTCTGCACCCCTAACCCTTGTAGCTCAGGAACGTGACCAGGGTCACGTCTCCATCCTTCCCATCCAGTGGTGTGATCAGCCCGATGCCACCTGCAAACCTTGGAGGAACTCTCAGACTTCTCTACAATATTCACAAGCTCCAAGAAGCACTCA